TGAGTAGTTCAGAGAACTAGCAAATACCACTTCTGATTGGAGATTTTATAGTATCCTTCCCCTGCCATGCCCACCAAGCCATGCCCATAGAACCGGTAGTCAAAAAATTTGAATCCCACCACTGGATTATCTGTACGAGCCGTCATAGAAAACATTGAGTTTCAACTTTGGTGAGCTCCTGCCAGTTAAAGTACCCACTCCTGGGTTAAATGAGCCTATGATTTTATTTTCATGATTACTAAAATGTAGGTCTGAACAGAGATCTATAGTTAACCTATTGCCCCGTCCCTCAAATAGATGCACCTTTGACCTGAATAAAAATAAATAAATCACATAACCCTTCTCTTCCTCCTCCTCCTCCTCTCTGCAGCTTTCCAAAATACATTTATAATGGTGAAGAGCTGAAAAAAGGTCAAACCAGGATAGAACTATGCAAATAGAGGTTGCCATTTCTGGGCACTATTAAGAGCCAAGGGGGAAAGCACATAATTCACAAATGTTTCAATAAGATTACAAAATTGTAGGGCTTGGATAAGTGAAGGCTGAGTAAAAGGTTCATGTCTGCCACTCAATAAGTGGAATGGAACTGAAATCTGATCCCATATTTAGATAGTGGGACAGTTAGTCACAACATCATTTTCTGTCCCTTTGCTGCCCTTTAAAAAGTGTAAATGTTAAGAATGGCAAGGTATTGCAAACAATATTAACTATTGCTAGTTTGTATTTAATGAATTGTCACAAGCTTGAATATCCGAGATGTGGCCTTTGATGCTCACTGGGCTTGGTTGTTTTCTTGCAGACGTCTCATTACCCAACTAAGTAACATCAGTGCTACTGCGTGTGGGGTTTGCTCTCTAATTGTATAAAGTAGCTTGCCCTGCCAGTTGGAAGGAAAATCCATCTGGTTCAGTTCCAAACTGGGAGAAAGACGCCGGAAATAAAATGGAGGCTGGAGGCTGATTGGAAAAAAGGTCCATTTATTGATGAACAGAGACACCGGGGTTTTTGGTTCTGGGGCAGCTGGCCAAATGGTTGAATGAGTGAATGGAACTTTATAGGTTTCTGTGACTCTGAACTTCGAACTGTTCTGGGAGGTGGTGCAATGAAGGGGTTTGTGTTTCTAAAGAGGGTACTGGTTAATTCCTATTGTGGCTAATGGCTTTCATCCATTGGATGGTGTTGGGTGAGGGGCTGCTTGTTCTAATCCTACCATCTGCTTTTGCTAGCTGTCAAACTCTGCTGCAAGGCGTTTCGAAATATCCTGTCCTCTGCTGGCAGTATTTGATTTGCTTATGAATGGAGCCATCTAGATCAGGGGTCAGGGAACTTTTTTACCTTTTACCCCCCAAAAAATTTATAAACGCCGACGTTACCCCCTTGATTTGAAAGGAAGGTCCTTGTGTATGTAAACTATACAAACAGAATGTCGGAAATAAAATGCCTGGGAGTAATGAGAACGGTCGCGCCAGCACGACCGTCCTCATTACCCCCAGGATTTTCAGTTTTACCCCATTTGGGGTAATTTACCCCTGTTCCCCGACCACTGATCTAGATAGTTGACTTCCTCTTTCAATAAGCTCTTTATCTCTTTAAGTGCTGGCATCTGCCATGGGCTCTTAAGAAAGACTGGGGGCTGCTTTCTGCCTCCAAAAACATGTTTCTCCATTTCTCCTTTAGGGAAATATAATATTCTGCCTTTTTTAATATTCCCTAAAATATTTCATTCTTGGAGGGGGGGGCGCTTCCCACAGTTTGGTTATCTCCTTGGTAATTCCTAGCAGTTGATAATTCCACATCCCACTGATATGAGTAGGTTTCAAGGCAGGCAGACCAATCAATCAGCAGACTATTGACGGTAACATTAAGTTAATCAGAGGAAAAACTTCCTGATGTTGTAGTTCGCCAGGCAGCCTGTACAGACGGCAGTGGAAGCGGACAGTGGGGAAGAACAGAGACCAGTCCGGGAGTCTAGAGAGGACTCGAATGAGGGTCTTGCGTCCAATGCAGAGATGGGGCTAGGATCATCTTGGAGTTATGTGCTCCAGAGTCTGGCAGCAGTGAGGCAGAGGAACAAGGGGAGCCTGTTCCCAGTATGCGTGTGCACAGAGCTGCTAGAAGGCAAGACCAGCCAAGACAAAAGGGGAGACTCAGTAGTAAGGCTTGGAGGTGATTGCCCCTCCCCTAAGGTATAAAGGAAGTACAAAGGTAGAGAAACCTTTGCAGGAAGCAAAGTCGCTTGCTCTGTTCGGATTATACCTTGAAGCTCTGTGTGGACTTTGTACTTGGGTTGTTTTTTTACAGTTAATTTGGCACAGTTGTTGGCAGCAATTCAAAGGGGATAAAGGTAGGTGGTTATCTCGAGACACTGTTTGGGACTCATTATGGGCTGGGAATGAACATAATTCCCAGCGCTGGAATAAAACAAGAGTTGTTTGGACTAAGCGTGTGTTTAATTACGGTCTCAGGAAGACTTGAATTCTATGCAAGCTTTTATCTGAGTACATGAAAAACCAAATTAAAATGTAACATTGCTTTTTCCATTGGCCTTTTCTCTACTTAATTTGTGGACGTTATAATACTTTCTGAAAAATCTGGAAGGGTTTTTTTCCCCACAGCCTGGGAGGATTAAATCCCTTTTTTTCCTTTCTGCACTGCAGCTGTTGCTCTTTAGGAAAATTTCAAAGAATCAAAACAGACAGCAAACTCATTCTTTACTATATAACCTCAAGAGCAGGGAGCGTTGTTCTCTTGACTTAACTTTACTATTTGACAACAGTGGGTACATTTCTGACCTAAGGGGATTCTCTAGAAACATGCATTTTCTGAGGTATTGGTCAAACCTGAAAAAAATTAAGCAAGAGTCTATTTAAACCTCCATAGAAATATATTGTATTTTTGTATGTTCCCTCAAATGCGTATTATATCCAAGTATTTTCTGTATGTTCCTTCAAATAGTAATAGCACGCGGGCCAAATGCATCAAGTGCTGGCCACTGCAACATGTTGTCACAAGTTTGATACCCTGACTTAGACTTATATGCTGCTTCACAGCGCTTTACAGCACTAAGGGGTTTACAGAATCAGCATATTGCCTCCAACAATCTTACATCCAAGTTTCTTTCACACTTGATCAACTAGTTTTGAACTACCTTCAAACCAGTTTTTCAGGATCAATTTTAACATAGAGGCTTTTTTTGGTCGAGAAAAAAGCAATAATTGTCCAAGAGAGGGAAAAATGCCTTTGATAAGTGTTCAAATTATAAAATAAATAAAGAGGGCTGTTATCTTTTATGAAAAGCCTCAATTAATGGTTTTACAGAGTTTTCAGGGTACAAGTGGGCTAAAACCAGGAGGAATAAATAGGGCTTTTGGTTTTAAATCAATATCCCTCCTTTTATCATTATAATTTTTCAAAGGTTTTGCTATATTTAGTAAAACTGTTAGTTGCATCATAGATCTGTACAGCACCCAAATCCTAACGTCTTTCTTTATCTTTAGAATACAGGTAGACCTCGAAACCACAATAGGGACTGGAAACTTTGTCATTAAGTGTTGTGGTTGTTGAGTTTGATGTTGCGTGATCGCTGCTTGTGATCTTCCCTGCCAGCTTCCCCATTGACTTTGCTTGATATGTGAACAACATGAATGGCAACCGTATAACCATAGGGCACTTGTGACCCTTATAAATGCACAGTGGTTGCCAAGCAACCAAATTATGATCACGTGACTATAAGGATACTGCATTGGTCGTAAGTGTGAGGACCAGCCATAGGTCACTTTGTTCAGTGCCATCATAACTTTAACTCTCTATCCCATCCCCATAATCATTTGACTTTCAAATCATCTTAATTGAATTTACATAAAGCAAGTAAGTACCCTTCATTTTTTGATGAGATCCAAAATACACTCATTTCTTCATTAGGTAGGTGAAAAAACTTGAGGATTAAATATTTTCGAACAAGTGTAAAAGCGAAAATAATGGATTTGTTCACCAAAGGAACCTGGGTTCTTACTTCTTAAAAGTCTGGTTTTGAATCCCCTGCATAGTTTGTGATGCTAAATTAAAGTTGCTGCCTCTTTCTTTTGAAAAGCCCATCTTGAACAGCTCCACAACAAGCAGAGTCCCTTCACAGTGAGATGGGCGGCTTATAAATTTAATTTAATAAATAAATAAATTCTATATTGAAGCTGAACAGTAGGCATGAATTTTATTTTATTTTGCTTAATTCCTCTTTCGACCCCGGCTTTAACATAAGAACTTACTAGAATCCAGAAATGTCTTCATAAATGGGATGAAAAAAAAATTGAGAGAGAAAGAAATGGGATGTGACAGAAAATAAAATGCACAATTATTCTAGCTGATCCCTAAACCTCAAAACTTGCCATAACTTTTCATATTTTTTTTCACCCAGTTCCTTTCTTCTGAAGTGTCTCATTGCTTCTTTATCTCTTAAAAAGGCAGAGGAAACTATCAATAAAAAGGGTCATAACCAAAACATATAATTCACAAGCACATATATACACACATATAGTGACCTCTACCAAGTTACAGCCTGCTGATTTCAGAAAAGCAAATGTGGATTATCGACACCGCCTTTAATCCCAACAAAAGCCACCAAATTCTTAGCACTGAGAAAGACAGAAAACATGTTATCGATTTATTCAGAACAAAGGGCTTGTGTTCTCAGCTACACAAAGAAAGGATTCATGATTGAGTCTACTAAGTCATGCAAAGTGTTTGTAGAGTACATGCAATGAGGGAATCCCTCTACACAGGACTGCAGCTTATAAAGTGATTTTTTTTATTTAAAAATTATTTTATTTAAAAATTATTATTTTATTTAAAAATTATAATTTTAAAAATTAAATATATATATAGAAAGCCTCCTCTATCAGCTATAGAATTTGAAGTCAAACCAGTGTGAATCAAAACTCAAAACATAAAAATGCATGCACCTAGGTTAGTCAGAAGAAGGGTGTGAAAACAGCTCTTTACAATACCTAAAAATAGCTTGATGTTTCTCCTTTTTGGTAAAGCTCCACCAGATGCCCCTGTTACCTTCTGAAAAGAAAGAAAGAAAGAAAAAATAGATAAAAAAGAAGAGGAAGAGAAGGAAGAGGAAGAAGAAAGTTTTTTTTAATCTAATGTTGCTACAAAATTTCCCTCTCCCCCCCCCCAATATATTGGGGGGGGATGAGAACCCGCATAAAAGCAATCTGCATTGATACCCTGGTGTAAAATGGATGCTATTATTTCCAGTAACTAGAAATTGGTTCTATTGCACCACAAAGAGTTGTCATGAAAGCAAATTCAAAACAGCAACAATGACCATGATAATAGAAACACTAGTTAATCATTGCACATTGTTGATAGTGCTGGCTGAGGAACTCTGGGAGTTGAAGTCCACAAGTCTTAAAGTTCCCAAGGTTGGAGACCACTGGTGTAGACTAACAGAGATTTAAAATGAAGTATTCCAACAAGTGCAGATTCATTCTTTCCTGAAAAGGTAGCCTTGTGGTTGTTTTTTTTACTTACCTGCTTTTTAAAGAAAGTTTTCATCCTGCCTAAAGTTCAGCCTTCTCCAACCCAGTTGCCCTCTAAATGCATGGACTTCAACAGTCAGAATTCCACAGAAAACAAACCCATTGCTAAAAACGATGCATGCAAAGTCCACACGTTTGAAGGGCATTCGTATTGCAGAAAGTTGTTCTACTCAGCTTAGATTTGCCCCCAAACAGAAAAATCAAGTGCCACTAATGCCCTAGTGTACCGTATTACAAAATATGATTGTTGGTTGTATGTTTCATTCATGTGAAGGCACAGGGAGCATTCATATCATGCACCAATCTTTCTCAAATCCATGTTGACTCAGGATGATAAACTTTGCAATTCAACACTTTACGAGAACAACGGGTTGAAGAAGACTGCCAAAGACTTTGTAATCAATTTAAGAGTTTCCCATCCCCCCCCCAAAAAAAAAAATATTCATGAGAATTGAGGCTTCAACTTATCCTGCCACCATCAAAAAAGTTCAATGAGAAGTTCATTTCATCAAAAACTGGTCACCACCATGCTTTTGATGGGAGTATGACAAATGTAATAGGTTGAAAAAAATTGGGTAGAATTGATATGCTTCCCCTCTCCTGATGGGAAGAGAGGGGGATAGCCTGGGATACTCCAGATAAGCAGGGGATCAGACTAGAAGACCTTCAAAGTCCCTTCCAACACTGTTGTTCTGTTACTCTGTTGGGATTACTTTGAGCATACTGACTAAAATTCAGAGCACTGTATTCCATCACATCTGGGCAGGATTAACATAGGAAAGGCTATCTTGAAATATAAAATCTGGATCAAAAGCTCCAAAAATATCATCTCTTTTTGGAATATAAATATATATTATTTTCTTGCCATCTTTTCAGAAGCTGAGAACATTGGCTATTACTAAATGTAGTAGCAGATCAGCGTCAGTGGAAATTACAATAAATGTCAATTTTCTAAAGAAAGAGGCATACAAAGTCATAATAAGATAATAAATCAACAATGTTTGGCACTGAAAGATATCCCCATTTTATTAACTGGGTATAATTTTTGGCCTTGCATCATGATATTTCTGTGAAGTTACACCTGTTAGACACCTGTCCATAAAAGTATTTAAAAAGCATGATCGAATCTGTTCTTTGGGTGCAAGCAAATACCACCCAATAAATTTAAATAATTACACAAAACAACACTTTAAATAATTTAGCATGCTAGACCACCAATTGCTGGTGGTATAGTAATTTAGCATGCTAGACCACCTATTGCTGGTGGTATAGTATGTTAAATTAGTCTCAAAGTAGATGCAATTAATAATTGAAATCAGCAATTAATCAGCCATTAAAACACCTGTTCAAAAAAATGTTTATCAATCTAACATATTTATTAACCTTCTATAAAAAAAATGTTTGCCCAATTCTGCAGAATACAAGCCAAAGAGCTGGGAACCCAACAAAGAAGGTAGGACCCAGAGTTGGTATCAGGCAAGCTTATAGCAACTATAGGAGACCCCCTTATTTTGTCAATGAATCTATAGGTTCATATACAAAGAACCTGGACCTTAAACTTTTAGAGCAGGGGTGTCTAACCTTGGCAACTTTTAAGACTTGTGGACTACAACTTCCAGAATTCCCAAGCCATTGGAAATTCTGGGAGTTGAAGTCCACCAATCTTAAATTTGCTAAGGTTGGACACCCCTGATTTAGAGATTTAAAGGGAATAATCACAAATGTATATTTTGCCAAGAAATAAATTGGCATCTAGTACGGTGCCTTAAGAATAGGAATAATATTGCCTTTTGGATTCCGCTCAAGATCTCCTGTCTATCAAATTATTGTATCAACCAAAGTTTCCAGACAATTCATGGTCCTTCTTTTTATGATAGTCAACCCATGACATAAAAGGCACACTTTTAAGGTTATGTTTTCTCAGAAAGTAATATAGCTAATGCACTAATGAAAGGTGGTGATTAAAAATGTTCCTGCTGGTTGCTTCTAATTGGGAAACCCGAGAAGAATTGGATCAAAACAGAGTATATAATCCTGTTACCATATCTAATCTAATTCAATCTAATCTAAATCTGATCCAATTCCAACCTTCTTTTTTAATAGCATGCCAACTACAGTATATTCAACCTACAACCTACAACACTACAAACTTGCAAACTAAGTGGAAAACATTTGTGCCCTAAATTTAATATACACACAACAGGGGTGGGATGCTACCAGTTCTGCCCGGCTCTATAGAACCGGTAGCTCTAAAGAGCAGCAGACACTGAACCGGTTCTGTGTCTGCTGCTGTTTGGCCCACCTGCCCACCCAGGCTCTTACCTGTCCTTTATTTCCTGTTTTTTCAACCTCAGCTACTTTGCACGTCACAGCTGAGGTTGAAAAAGCAGGAAAAAAGAAGCTTTTCAAACGCTATGCATCCATGCGCAGCGCTTTTCAGCTGTCCGGGCAGCACAGCTTAAGGTTTTTTTCACATGTGCGCATAGCGTGCGTCAGGCGTGCATGTGCGCAAAGCCCGCATGCGCGCACAAAATATAGTCACCGAACTGGTAGTAACACCGGTTGAATCCCACCCCTGTACACACACCTATACTTAATACAATATGTATTGGTATTTTATATAGATATTTTATATAGATATAATATCTATCCATCTATCTCTCTATCTCTATCTATATCTCTACATATTATATATCTATATATCTATATATCTATATCTATATCTATATATATATATCTATATCTATATATCTATATATCTATATATCTATCTACCTATATTATATATGATAATCTACAATTAATATGTATAAGCATCGGCAATCAATAAACATCCATACAATCAATAAAACACAGCAACTATTTCTATGCAATTTTTATTTACAGTCCAAAAGTTTTTTTTTTTTAATCTAAACTTTTAACAAAAAGGTCATATATAAATACAAGAGATGGTGCAAGTTTTGGGATTTGAAGGGGGGGAAGTCAGGGGTGGGATTCAAATTTTTTAACATCCAGTTCTGTGGGCATGGCTTAGTTGGTGGGCGTGGCTTGGTGGTCATGTTATTGGCTGGGCGTGGCCAATTCAATATCACATCGAGGCATGCATCTCCTCGCCTGGCCTCTCATGACTGTGGGGATGCTGCAACAGTCGTAAGTGTGAAAAATGGTCATAAGTCACTTTTTTCAGTGCCATTGTAACTTTGAATGGTCACTCCACACAAGCAAAGTACCAGGAAAAGGAGGGGGGGAAAACTCCAGAGAAGTTCCTGAGACAGGAAGTCTAGTCCTGCCAAGAATGCAATAAGGGTTAACGGAGAGGCAGTTTCTGTAAGCAACACCAGAATGTTTCCTTCCTGCCTTCCTTACAGGATTAGGCCAGTAATTTCTTCTAACAACCAGTTCTCTGAACTGCTTAGAATGTTAACAACCGGCTCTAGTGAATAGGTGGGAACTGGTAGAATCCCACCCCTGAGGGAAGTGCTTCAGAACATACACGTCATCAGTCAGCAACTCCTTAAATCAAAAAGATATTTTCCTGAGACTCCTCTGCAACTGTGTGGGGCTGCTAAATAGTCCCAGGAAAAGCTACAATAACTTTAAGAAGTTAGTGATTTGTCCTATGCAAACACACACACCTTTTCCCCTTCAAATTCAAAGTGTTGCTTAAACCTCTTAACAATACATCTTGAAAGAAAAATCTCAAAGAAAACAAGGACAGGTGTCTTTAAAGCAATTCATTATATAGAAGACTTTTTAGAAATCCTACAAATTCTTCCATGTTCAACAAAGTTCAAAACTGAGCTACAGGGTTGGGTAAGCATGCAAGAGTGTAGGAAGAGGTAAAAAAAGTCAAGATGGCAGCCACAGTTGTGTCATCATAGTTACTATCTTGATTTTGATTATCCCTTCATGAATGTCTCTATAGATCTGCATGCCAACATCCCTGTACAGAAATTTAAGTCTACAAATGCATATATTTCCACCAATCTTTATCAGATCTTCATCTGTCTTTTGTTTACTTGTTGGCACAAATGTGGTTCCACTTTCTAGTATTAAACTAAAATAATTAGAATAGTACACAGACATATTGTTTTTGCAATAGATTTAAGCACCCATATGTTCTGTTATTACAGAATTACTAAATAAATACATAAGCATCTATTTGTCTTGGTTACCATGAAAAAAATTCACAAAATAGGTGAGCGTACCAAAAACGTGGCCCACAGGTAACTTTTAGCCCAGCAATGGCACTTCTGAAGTTCACACAGACCTTCCCCCCCTCAAGTAAACAAGCCAAGAATCTTAGCCTCCTTTTTTCAATTGTTTTGGAGGTTAAAGGAGGCTTAAAAACCATTCTATTGCCTTAAATATTCAGAGTGCTAAAAAAAAAATGCTATGCAAAACGTAGTGCAGCCAGCCAGGAAGTTAAATACATTATTATAAAATTAAGCCTAAAGTACCGTGTTTCTCATATAATAAGGCTGAGTCTTTTTTTTTTTTTTTGAGCCCCGAAAAAAT